TTTTATATAAGTTTTTTAACAGTGGAAACCCAACGTATATACAACACTGGTGCTTTTGTACCATAAATATTATTCTCGTTTGGAATGTATTACGTAGCTATAAAATGGTCGTCGTGCAGACTTTATCTCTAAATCGAATCGATTCAATACACTTTAAATTGATTCTGTACAAATCCGAGCTAGCGTTGTGACTGAATTCCATAGATTGCGTCAAATGATTAAACTTTAAAAAAAAAAACAATTTAGAATATACTATTATAAAAAATTAATTAGAGCGTCGGTGGCGCAGTGGTCAAGCACTTGACTTGCAATCTGCAGGTCCTGGGTTCGAATCCCGCCATGTACCAATGTGTTTTTCGATTTCCGATTTACACATGTACATTTATCCGACGTTCTTACGGTGAAGGAAAACATCGTGATGCAACCTGCACATATCTGAGAAGAAATTCAAAGATATGTGTGAAGTCAACCAACCCGCACTTGGCCAGCGTGGTTGACTATGGCCTAATCACCCTTAACTTAGGGTAGGCTCCGAGCCCCTCGGTGGGGACGTATAGTGAGCTGATGATGATGATGATGATTATAAAAAATATTGAAATTTCTTAAACTGAAAGTTTTTTTGCATAAAAAAATTGAATTTAATTTACCGTATCTATTAAATTTATCGCTAGGGCCAAAAACCATGGGGTCGTAGCTGTCATGGTGGGCTGCTTGTTTACCTATTTAAGCGATCCCGGGAAGACGGTGACGTAGCGTGGTCCTACGTTACTGCTGTAGTGTGGAAACACAAAGATAGGTCTACCTTTCCTGAGGAGATCTGCTAAGGGTTTCGGTGCGTTCCTTAGAGATCCGGGAACTCTTTTGCACTCGAATTTGGCCACCGAAGGGGTTTTAGTAAGTCAAATCTCAAATGACCCTGTCTTCACCCATGAAGGCTTATCGTTGGAAGATTTTCCCTTCGACACAAAAAAGGGATAAAAAGCAAATCTTATATATAAAATTCTCGTGTCACAATATTCGTTACCATACTCCTCCGAATCGGCTTGACCGATTCTCATGAAATTTTGTGAGCATATTGAATAGGTCTGAGAATCTGCCAACATCTTTTTTTCATCCCCTAAATGTTAAGGGTAGTCCAACTCTAAATTTCATTTTTATTTTTTAGACAAACACGCGGACGGATTCGCAAGCGACAGCTAGTTGGGTCTAATAATTGATGACATTTCATTACCTAATTTGAAATGGTCTTATATCTTTAATTACAATTATTGTAACAAATCGCTTAATAGCCTACATAAATCTTGTAATTGTCAATCTAAGTGTTATTAAAATACGCTAATGATTGCATTAATCTTAATTAGGACGATTGTTGTTTTGCAAGAAATTTTGTTGACGATGTTTTTTTCACGTTATGTATTTCAATTGCGACATATTGAAAGGGAATGTTCTAGATCACAAGTGACACAGATATTTGCGATGCCTGCTTTATCGGTGCATGCGCGTGGCCTAGGCCAGGCTAGGTAATAATAAATCATAACGCTATCCTAAGTGTTATCGGATTTTTATGCTAATACCTGAAATACTTTTCAAATTATAGCAATGACTGAAACTATGTCGAAGTGACGTTTCGTGTTAGTTAAAGATCTCGAAATCATCGAACCAAATGAGCAGACTCTAACGCAGATTGAAAATTGATTGATAGTAGTTGATTAATTAGTCAAATTACTATAATAACTAAAGCATAATATAAAATGAAGGAGTATACTGTTTTTAAAACTCCCTCCCATGGTTTCTTCTTTTTTTTCATGTTATAAATATTACTTTAACAAAGGTTATATGTAGATATTAAACCATACCTACGGTCATTTCAAATCGTCATTAGTTTATATTTAAAGTTCATTGTTTTGTTGACAGGAAAAAATAAGTTTTTCATATAACAACTTTTTTTATGTTTTTTTTTTTACCAGGACATCGTAGAGATACCAATGGAAGTGCTCCTCTCAGAGATTAGTCCACGCATCAGCATGTCCGACTTCTTCTCGCTGACATGTCAGGACAAGTGCTGCGTCGTCGACATACGATCTAATTTACTGTTCGTATTTTTTATCCTATTTGATCTTATGGTCGAATATTTCATTTGTGACATTTCAAGTTGACAGCTGTCAAACTGACAGTTCGTTTAGGCATATGTGAAATCGATTTAATCGTTTTTTTTTCTTAGAATTATGTAATTAACGGCGCCTTGCTAGTATCTTGCTACTCCTTTTCACATTTCATAGTGTAAAATTAGTTTTTTGTTTATGAATTTAGTTTTCCACAATGAACTGCAATTAATATTTAGCTAAAAATCATCCACGATTAACGTATAGTGTTTAAAACTAATCTGGCCCGTTGACAGAAGCGCTGATTTTCAAGACAAGATGACTTTAGTTTTATTTTTGACCACCGAATCAAAAAAAATTGTACCTCTAGTGTGCTGAGGTTTTATCTAAGATGATTTGTGGATGCAGCTACGAGAAGAGCTGTATAGAGGGCAGTGTGAACGTGCCGTACAGCGGCGTGCAGCTGGGGCAGCGCGACCTGCGCGCGCTCGGCCTGAACGCGCACCGCGCGCTGCGCCACGCCGTCACACACAAGAATACTATCGTCATCGCCTCCGCTGAGGACGAGACCGCGCAACTTGTGAGTCACATAAATCATAATTCTTTATAGCTTAATATTAAAAAAAAATAATATCTGGAATGACATAAATTTGACAGATGACATCCCACTCTCGACGTTAGCGCCACCTACTTAGTGCTTCCAGATTTTAAAACCTTTAAAAGACTCTAATCATATACTAATTAAATAACATGTTTATACCAATTTAAACTTTCTAAAATAAATCCATAGACAATAAATGTTATTGCTAACCAGTGTAATGTGTAAATGTTACTAATTTGCATTGAATTGGACTACACAATACGTTTTAATCTGTCAAAAATGTTTAGATATTTTAACGTAAAATGGGTCGTCATTTAAATAATTTTAATTATACATTTTGTGTATATCTTTACGTTTCTCTTCAATATCAGACTACTAAAATAATGAAAACAACTAACCGTTATAAATCTGAACTGATTTTGTAAGCGGCAACTCTATTATACGGTGAAAGTGGCTTTTTTTTAACGTTGCACTCGGAATTTTAATAACTGAAAGTCATGCAACTCGTGCAAAACAACCGTGTTTACATCGCCCTTTACTTTAACTGTACTTTATCCAAAATAGTTCATAGAAATGTACGCTTTTTGCCAAAATATTAATAAGTAGCTCTAAAATCAATTGCTGTTCATCAGTTGAGAACGGCTGAACGGATTTATTTTATCTTGGTCTTGAAATGGCCGGGAACTAATTAAGTTTTATTTTTCATCACGCGGACGAAGTCGCGGGTGACAGCTCTAATAAAATAGATATTTTAATCATCAATCATGTGAGAACTATTTAACTTATTAGTATGATCCTACTTATTGACGCGGAATCCTCTCTAGATAGCTATAATTTTTTTTAAAATTCTACTATTCTATAGCGTTAAAAAGCGCCTAGTTTGAAAAGAAAAGAGTGCCTTTAAAAAAAACGAGTAGTCGATAACTGTATCTATAATCAAACAAAGACGTTTGGATCGGTGAGAGAGGCGCTGCTATCGTGGTAATTTCTGTCAGAAGATATTTAAAACCTACTTGGATATAGAAAATGACAATACAGCTGTAGTACAACAAAGAGCATGTAACACTTTTTTGACATTGAAGGTGGCGTTAGCGAGTTGTCAAACTTTAGTTTAACTAATGTCGACTAGAGGGGTTAGACAAAATACATTCGCTCCAAAACGATTACACAAAGATCTTAAAAAATGTAAAAAACTGACTTTCGATACGTCATGTTATTGTCGCGCGTTAGTTCCGGCCATTTTTGAAGTTCATTATGGAATCGCTTCGGAGCGAATGCACTTTGTCTAACCCCGCTGGTTAGTTATCCTAGTCTGTAGGTCTATGATGACTGCTAAAGAGTGTGAAAAAAATTGTTTCTTATTTTTTTTCAGTTTAGCGACTACTTAGTGAAATGCAACGTACCACGAGTGTGTATTCTGTATGGAGGTATTTCCGCATTACAATCCCATGTGCCGTCTCTCTTCATCGTACCAATAAAGAAGACTGGATCCAAATAATCCATTAAGCCATAAATGAATACATAAAATTGAATGATGGTGTGCACTTTGGAAGTCCGGCTCGAAGGACCGTTAATACTCTTTATTACAGGTTTGTTTATATTTTTATTATTATCGATTAAAAGCTTTAAAGTTTAATTTAGAAATTTCAGAAACCTTTTCTGTGTCATATTTAATAAAATTTATTTTGTTTTAAATGAAAAAAATGCAAAAATAAAACAGACCGAAATGTATGTAATTTTGTACGATATTTATTAAACTTATAAAATATATGCAAATAAGTTAATAATATTGTAAGAAATAATGTGCAATGATAAGTAATTATGTAAGACAATGAGAAATTGAATAATTAAGATCTGTTAAATCATTAATCCAGAAATAAATGTTTTTTTTTATATTTATGTTATCTGTTATTTTTTCCTTATCTATTCACCAAAACAAAACTCGATCATTATTAAACTTGAAGGTTAATTGATACATTGACTTACTTAATAGTTATTGACAAATTACATATTATTGTAATGAATCGTTACGATATAATTAAATAAAAAAGTATTTTCATTAAGCCATTCAAACATAACGTTTGTCCTAAATCTCAGTGTAAACAATCTCGTTCCAAATGATAGGAGATAACAGGTGGTTGGTACGACATAGTTGTCATCTCGGGCAACCCCCGTAACGTGCCCTGACTCTTGTTTTTACCCCCTGTATTGTTATGAATGAGCGTGGCGCGGGGGCGGGGCGGGAGCGCGGGCAGGGGGATGCTCGCGGCCACTCCGCGCGCCGCATTCACCGGCCGGACTCCGCCGCGAGCTCATGTCCGTTGTAACTCTCACTCGCAAACCAACATTCCTCGCGTGCAGTGAAATTTTATAAAGTATACACATTTCGACATAAAATCAAATGGGCTTGGAAAGTGAAACATAAAACTCCGTTGTGGTGATACGCAGTGTTCTGTATGAAGTATATTATTTATACGACTCGGTAAAGTTGTGAAGTTTACATTCTTGTCGAGTTTCGCACACAGTTCGGTGGAGGACCGTGGAAGCGTGACAGTTTGCTGGTGTGTTGTGCGTGATCATCTACGAGGGAGAGTTTGTCGGTGCGGTAGTCGGCGGCCGTAGTACCTCCGGCCCCGACATGGAGAGCTACTTCGACATCTCCAACGACCTGAAGGATGTCTGGGACGCGGACATCGACCCGGTGAGTCGACCTTGTTGTACTTATCTAGTAAAGATGAAATTGTTTTGTGTTTAGCGTGAGGGCGGGAAACCGGTCAGTGTCAGATACGTTCCGCGCGATATCACTGATAACAACAAATAATTACTAGATCTCGCCGGCCTTGTTTTGTACTGGAGCTGGCTATCTACCTGCAACTGAGCAGTGCATGTTCACTCGTCTTTGAGTACCGCCCCGCACTAAGTGCATTACCTATCTGTTTGAACCTAATTTTCAAATATAGCCGTTATCATCGTCGTCTTTGATCGATGCGCGAAAGAACTTTAGACATGTTCCACTCGATATCTATGATAAAGATTATTAAAATTAAATATCATGTACACTTGATTAAATTATCAATGACTTTACGTGTTTCTTCACTCATAAATCGTTTGATGTTGATAATATTTAAAAACTTTTTTATTTTCTAAAAAAGTAGGTACCAATACGCGCCGTTATTTTTGTAAAAGGAAAAAGATATTTGTTCGTATTGAGTAAGCTGAATATTTACACCACTATTCGTTATAAGTATAATGGTTTACAATGGAGAGAGAATCAAAGAAAACCTAAAATTATTATATGTTTTTTTAACTAAATTAAAATATATATAGAAAAAGTCGCGAGCTATGACGGGCACAAACAGTTACTTAATTAAATATACATATATGCCGTACACTAGTCCGCAAGCAATCGAGTTTCTATCCTGTTACAAACACTATATAAAATATTCCAGTATTTACTTACCACATACGCGATGAAGTGTGAAAGAAATCGTGGGGAAATCGCTTCTTTCAGATCTAAGGTTAATATCCTTCAATATTCGTTAAATATTCAATCATTTTGTAATATATAATAATATTTTTAATAATTAACTAAGTTGGTCGACCGAAAAATGTATAATTTAAAATCTTTCTAATTGATTAATGCCTTTATTGTTAAACATTACATTTGCAAACATATAATGTAGTCAATTATCTATTTATCGCGAACACAATTTGCTTTTAATATTTCTTAGAAATTGAATCAAGGAAATCCATTTTAAAGGTCGAAGGTACAATACCAGTAACCTTGTGTTGATGTAATTCGTATTTTCTCATACAAAGAATTTTACTGCCGAAAACATTCTTTATAGGACACATGTGGAAACCCAAAATAAAATGACATCTTAAATCAACACATCGTAGGTCCAAAAGACAAGGCATATTGTATCCTATTTTTAAATCTAATTAGTATTAATTAGAAAAATCATAATTGTGTTATCATTTACAAATTTGAAATTAATTTAGATTAGTATCTGCAACCCCTCGATAGTGATATATCTAGGAATAGGTTACTTACTGTGATTTACTGAAAGGTTTGAAATGATCTTTTAACTATTTCTTTTTACTTTTATGGAGAAAGGTTACCCTACAATACAAGTACCTATATTACATTTCGTTCTTGTAAGTGAGGCTTCGTAAGCCAGACTTCTCTTTTACAGATTATGGCAGTAGATTCGTAGCTTTTCTTATTTTTAATTTTTAGTTGTTATTTATTGTACTCGCTAGCCACCTATTTTACAAATAGAGTCAATTAGACTTAAATCTATAAATAACGTAATGACAGAGATAGACGTGTGTAAAAATATTTTTTTATATAATATTATATTATATTTGTAGATGACCTATTACTGTGTGTTTTGTACCCAAATATATGTACAAAAGCGTAGCTTTATGCTTCTTTTTTTCGAATTTCAATTAGAGGGACAGTCATACATGTTTTTATACATGTATACCGTCTGTGAAAACTCGTATGTTTTTATAACTGTGGAAATTTTAGGATTTTTGAGGCGGCTTTTAAAAAGCACTTGTAACTTGTTTTCTCTGCTATGCGGTGACGTCACGGTTGAATGTTGTTAGCTAAAACCCGACGCAGGTGCGGTGTTGACGCGCGTCAAGTTGTCGGTTGCGGGTGGGTGCCCTCTACATTTGGTCGGGTTGGCGAAGCGTATATTTCTTATGGTAGCGTACGGTACACGATGGTGCGTCGACCTGACGCCTTCAACTCGGAGGCCCGGGGTCCGTTTTTTATGAAGTATATTTATTACCATGTTAAACCTTACTAGTGAGGCAGGATGCTTAACATATAGATTTTTTTTGTAAATGTCACGAAGCAACTACTACCTACACAAACATACATCGTATTTGTTAAAGTCATAAAAAGTGGTCAGTAGAAATTATTGATTTTTATTGTAAGCAGTTTTATAATACTTATTTCATTTAACATCTAAACAACAAACTTGATCTTCTAATCCTCAATTCAACAAAATCTTTCATTATAGTTGTCGCGTATTTTTTTTATTATGTTGCCCGCATTTAAAATAAGTATACATAAATACTTCCTGTTTCCAAAATGGACGTCCATCCGGTGTCGGGTGCGTCATGAGATGTACACTTGCCGCGATGCAGGGATAAATACAATTTAAAAATACATTTGCGATAAACAACTGCAATACTTTCTCTGTATTCATTAATCATAACACATTAATCATCATCAAAGATAAAATCAAAAAATAAAAATTTTGCCGTAAGTTTCCACTGTCGAAACATCATCAAAAATGCCCAACTACTATTATTCACATAAACTCATTGGGTTTTTTTTTAATATTAGCAGACTTTTATTCATTTACTAAATTTTCTTGTATAATACCATTCCAACTTAACTCTACGCTTGTGTGCATGTCTTAATATGGTTTACGACAATAATCGAATGGCAGGATTCGAACCACGACTTCGTGATCCGCCTATTGTCGTTTTTTAGGGATGCTTTTGAAGTGTATAAGAACAATATTAAGGCATGATTCAAAATAATTAATATATCTTTTATGTTTGTATGTATATGTAAGAGATCATGTTACATTGTACAAGATAATCAGTTTAATGAGTATTTTGAACTTGCGCAATCAAGGAAATAATTTCTGTTTCTCTGTCCTATCCCGTATGGATTGTGATTACACACGCATTCAGATTAAAGGTCATGCCACACAAATCTAATAACACACGACGCGTGTACCGATAATAAATTATTCTATTCTAACATCTTATTTAACTACATTATGATTATTGTAAATTAGATCTTCTAGCTTAACTTTCAATCTGAATTGCACGACTGGAATTCATAGTAAATTTGTCTATGTGTATCCAGACTATGTTCTACGTATATGCAATATTACATCAGTGAACATCCATCCAACTAAACTTGCACATTTATAATATTAGTAAGATCTATTACACATAACATCTGATGTTACTTTGTTCATATTTTACTTAAACATTTTTGTAAATATGTAATTGCTTTATTGACAACCATATAAAGCGTCCTGATCTGAATCCACGTTATCATACTTCTGCTTCTTCTCAGCCATGAGACACCCACTGCTGGGCATAGGCCTCCCACAAAGATCGCCACGATGACCGGTCTTGTGCCACCCGCATCCAGGACGCTCCCGCAACCTTGACCGTTATCTTACTATTATACTAATATTGTAAATGTGAATGTTTGGATGGATGGATATTTGTTTAAAGGTATATCCGGAACGGCTTAACAGATCTTGATGAAATTTTTCACAGATGTAAAACATAAACTGCTGAACACATAGGCTGCTGATTTAGTTTTTTTTTTATTCCGCGCGGAACCGCGGGCGATAGCTAGTTTTAATATAACTTTACAAAGATGCAAAATATATTTTATAGGACCCTTTATGCACATACGACTGTCCCGTTCTGTGCGCGTATCAAGGCCCTACAGACGGTTGTAACTGCACTGAGTAACAACGAACGACTGCCGCATTGTAATGTTAATTGAATTTCCTTTGCCTTGTCGCCGCTACTGAAAGCGAAGACGTTCATTTAAAACGTATTAAAATAATCAGTCAGCGTACATTATTGTTTCTTTTACCTATTAATAAAATTGTTAATGAATTACACAAACGCTTTTAACTCAAATATTATCATTGCTTAGATTCCCACTTATTGTACGAAAGAATTTGAAGCATAATCTATATTCTTTATTTTATCGAGTCGTATATCTTTTTCCTTTTTATTCTTTGGAACATAATTATACAAAAAAATCTAGAAAATTAAAGAATTAAAAGTACGTCTCGTTTTGTTTAAAATTAAAACATCTTTCTTATAATAACATTCTCATTTTTTAAGTTTCCGTACCTCAAAGTAAAAAAAACGGATCCCTTAGGATCACTTTGTTGTCCGTCCATCTGTCTGTCAAGACCTTTTTTACTATGAAGCTAAATTAGAAATTAAAGCATAGGTAATAATTAATAGTGATATATTAGACAATAGTTTAATATAATGTCTATAAATAATTTTCAGATTAAATTCAGATCATTTACAGATACGAAGCGTGTGGTGAACAAGATAGGTTGTTTGTGATGCTGAAACAATGGCGGTATTGCGTAAATACACAGGCGCTGTTGCGTCATGCCTGATACCTCCAGTGCTGTTTCAAAAACAAGATGTTGACACAAGTGCTCTCGATATGTCCCCGACGAGAATCATCTATCGAACGTACCGATTGCTATCGTTTTAAACAATATTGTAATGGAGCTACGCCTACGCCTTAACATTATAACGATAGGATGAAAGTTTGGAAAACACACGTCTAAAATAATCTGCTATTTTGTTTTATAAAAATCATACAGGCCGTGTTAAGATCTGGGGACTTAAAAAATATATAGAACTGAATATAACTTTCTATAAGTCACGCGATCGTCGCGCGTCAGCTCCATACAATTTTGAAGTTCGCTATGGAATCGCTTTGGAGCGAATGCACTTTGTCTAACCCCCTGGATCCTTCGTGCCGTCTTTGGGCTAAATACTTTTTCATATTTATTGAACTATTAACAAGTATAGATTAGATATAGAACAGCATAATAAATAATAATAAACCACGACCACGCAGAAGATGAGTGTGCGTCCCGAAGGCCTAAT